TTTTTTTTTTCATACTTTAACATTACCCATCTTGTTTTCATGCTTTCTCCTCCCTTTTTAAAGACTGAGAAAGACTTAAAAACATAACTTTTAAAACAAAAATGTTCCAAATCCAATTGGGTTCATCTAGTGATATTCCGTCCAGTTCCCCCAATCATTTCCAATTCATAGAATCATAAATTTAGGACTGGAAGTGACTTTAGAAATTATTTCATGCAACTCCCTTATTTTACAGATGAAGAAACCAAGACTCATAGAGTTAGAGATGTAACCAAGGTCACCCAGACAGTAAGTGACGGAATCAGGATTCAAACCTAGTTTCTCTTACCCAGCCCTCTTTCCCCTGTGTCAGCTTATCAGTTGACATCAATTCATTCAGCAAATATTTATTAAATATCTTCTATGTACTAGGTCCTGGGAGAAACAAAGATGGTTAAGGGATCATCCCTGCACCAAATGAGCTCACCATCTTGTAGAGGAATTTATATGAAGATTCAAATCAGTACAATGTAGGAACAGTAGGTTGATTGCTTGGGTTCCTGAACTCATGGCCCAAGACCTTACCTTGGAACCTTAATAGGAAAAGACGGTCCTGGGATGATGATGATGGAGATATTAACTTGGAAAAAATTGTAATGTTTTCCAGTCCAAAGGGAGATATTTTCTGGTAGGGTCTGCCTTAATGTGCGCTTCTATGGAATGTATTCATTTCAACACACAGGAGATAGGGAGTACAAACAATTATCACTTATTTTATAAATGAGGAAACTGGGATCGAAAGAGATTTGCTTGTGGCTGCACAGTAAATTTAGGAGCTAGAATTTGAACACAGCCCTGCTGATTGCCAGGCTTGTGCTTTTTCCACTGTGAGAATGATGATGATGATAACTAGCATATGTGTGTGTGTGTGTGTGTGTATGTATATAACACACACACACACATATATATACATACACATAACATATATGTATGTATATGTATGTATATATGTGTGTCTATATGTGTCTGTCTCTGTCTCTGTCTGTCTCTCTCTCTCTCTATATATATATAAAATTTTAAGATTTGCCAAATGCATTATATGTTATTGCATTTGATTTTTGCAACAACCAGGAGGTAGGTGCTGTTATTTTACAGATGAGAAAACTGAGGCCGAGAAAGATTTAGTGACCTGTCCAGCGTCATACAAGTGGTACATGTCTGTGGTGGTACTGAACCTAGGTCTTACTGACTCCAAATCTACTATCTATCCAATGTGTCAGTCTGCCTTCCCACTCCGTACTGTATTGCTAGGTTAAGGAACAAGATTTTTTTTTTTGAGATGGAGAGAATTTATGCTAAACTCCATATCTACCATGGAATTGCAAGCCCTTGGAACTGGAAGGACATTTAGAAATTATTTGGTCCCATCCCCCTCAGACTGGATAGGGTCTGGTTCTTAAATCCCTGCATGATTTGACTCCAACATATCTTTTCATATTTCTTTCATCCTGGCCCTCATCTCATTTCACGAGGCTCAATGAGAATATAGACTGATTTTTCCTAGGCCCGAGTTTACTAAGCATGGCTTTCAGGGTGTAGGAAAAAGGGGATGATGGCACAGTGTAGCTCACTGTCTTGGAGATGTTTCTAGGTTAGTGTTCTTCTAATGTCTGTGCAGAAAGAAGCGACAATTTACAGATGTAAAAGAGTTGAAAGCAGTGGTATTAACTCAAATAGAGGGATCTCTGCAGCCTCATACTCACTTAGAAAACCACAAATTTAACATTATCTGTGTTGTATTTTTATTTATTTTGTTAAACATTTCCTAATTACATTTCAATCTGGTGCTCTGAGTATAACACTTCTGGTTTAAAGTAAGGGCTTTTGAATGCTTTTGAGGAAGGGGAGTGAAGTCATGAACCTGAGCAACTACCCATCTTTGAGGAAATTACTTCTGCTATGAGAAACCTCAGTAGTTCTTACATGGAAATGGGACCGTCCCTCTTTACTTTAATAACTTCAAGGATTCCTAATTTCATTTGTGGAGTTACTCCTTCACTGACACAGATTGTAACCCTTCTGTGACTTGGTAGAGCTAGTCCTTGGGAAATGCTGTCATTGAAAATTCAAATGATTAGACTAAACCGAATTGAATTGTTCATCCCTGCAGGCACCTTATGCCTCTCCAAACTGACTTAAGTTGGTTCTTGAACATTAGATAGACAAGCATAATGAAAGCCTTTCTAGTTTGATAAGACCTGCTGGCATGGACTCAGAGCAGGTAGCATCACCTCCTCATCACAATGAAGCGTCAGAGTAGGACTTCAATAGAAGGGACATCTACATCAGAGAGAAAGAGTAGAAGGAATTTTTGTCTAGAAGAGAGATAAAGTGATAGGGAGATGCAGGGAAGGATTTGGGGACTGGCAAGATGTTTCCAGGATGTGAATCTTGAGGTGTGATGACTTCTGGGGTCATTTTCAGGTGAGGATATCTGGGAATCAAATAGGATATTAGAATTCTGGCAGAGGATTGGAGGAAGAGAGATGGAAGGATAATATGGAAGAGAAATATGAAGAGAGAAAAAACATTGGACTAGAAACCAGAAGGCTTGCCTTCTAGTCATAACTGTTTCACTTACTGTCTATATGAGCTTGACCAAGTCATGTAACCTCTATGGATCTTATTCCCCTGTATGTAAGGTGAAATAGTCATACCTGTTCTGCCTACCTGAGAGTTGTGAGCATCTAATAAGCTGATGGATATGAAAATACATTGAAAAGCTACAACATGTTTGACAGCTTTAAGCTGGTGGTATTATTGTTAGGTACCTCTTAGAAAAGCATAACTAGGGGTAGCTAGGTGGCGCAGTGGATAGAGCACCGGCCCTTAAGTCAGCAGGACCTGAGTTCAAATCCGGCCTCAGACCAAATACTTGACACGTACTAGCTGTGTGACCTTGGGCAAGTCACTTAACCCCAATTGCCTCACTAAAAAAAAAAAAAACAAAAAAAAAAACTTAACTATATATATATATATATATATATATATATATATATATATATATATATATATATATACACACACACATATATACATATATATGCTTAAAACAAATATGAAGGATTCCTGAGCCTGAGAAGTTCAAAGCCAGTGCTAATGTTTTCCATCTTTAGAATTCTGCTCTGGTCTTCCTTGGAGTACTGAACAGTAGTTCTGGAGTGCCGTATGGGAAGTGCTTGTACTCCATGGTTGTGATCCTTGATCATTCCAATGTTAGGTTTTGGTAATTTGACCATTTCTCTTTTGCAGGAATGGGCGCTTTCAAACTTCTTTGCTCCTTTTTTTCCTCTTCCCACTCCTGTACACTGTGCACTCAGTCTTCTGGCAGCAATGGTTTTGTTTTCTTTTCTTCAGTTAATACAGTGGCTCATTAAACTTCTGCTTATCTTGAATTCCAGTCATCAAAAAGTAGAAAACCTGGGTTATTTTTTTTTTTTTACACATCCTTCATTTTTCTTTTGTGAGAGAGACAAGAGACAAATGATCAGTTGGATTATACTGTGGGACTGGTTCCAAAGTCTAACTTCCTGGGCATGCCCTTAGGTCAGTGAAGTCTTCTGTACCTCTCCATGTATATATGGGACAAGACAGTGAAAGTGGATGATGAAGGTGATGGCTCTGAGATCAGACAAGATCTTGACATGAAAAATCCTGAATTGCTTTCTGAAATTATGTTTCATATTATTTTAGCATTTCACCTGTTCCAAATCTCTCCTCCAGCCTCATCCTCCACTGATTGATTTAGTCAGATAAGCAGACAATTTTACCTCTGTCTCTACCTGTCACCCAATCTTTCTGGGCCTCAGTTTTCTCACCTGTAAAGTGAGGGGGGTTGGGCTAAATGACATCTGAGGTCCCTTCCAACTCTAGATCTGATCCTGTGACAGGCCATTTCTTGTGAACTTTCTCATTTCTTTTCCTCTATTTCAATCAATCAACATTTATTAAGTGCCAGATGCTGAATTTAGCACTGGGGATATAAAAGGAGGCAAAAGACAATCCTGCCTTCAAGGAGCTTACAATCTAGTGGGGGAGACCACATGCAAACAAATATATACAAAGCAAACTATATACAGCATAAAAAAGGAACTGAGAGAGTGAAGAGTCTGGAATTAAACGGGGTTGAGGAAGATTTCCTGTAGAAGTGGGGATTTCAGTTGAGACTTAAAGGAAGCCAGGGAGGTTAGTAGTTGGTATATATCTTCAAAAGCCCTGGGTCCTCATCTGATTCCGTCTTCCGCTCCAGTATCTGAGAGTGAAATTGTCCAT